CTAAAATGATTCTGTCCACAATTTCACCCTGGATCTACAAATCTTGTAACCTCCACACTTTTTTTCTTAAATCAAATAAACTCAGCTTTCAGTTAATTATTCCTCATTTTGAACAGTGCCATATCTGAAGAAAATGTATTTTACTCATTTGCACATGACATGGTTTGCTATGACCTACTGCAATTCCTGTGTGTTTTATTAATATGTGTTCAATAAATTGTGCAAGAAATTCTTCTATGTGAAAATGAGTTACTTGGGTTAGTCTGTCTGCGCGCACTGCTGCCAAAGTTCAAAGGTCCCTTGTTTATTTGCCATATTTATATACCGCCCCTCTCAGCCCGAAGGCGACTTGAGGCAGTTTACAGGCGGTTTACAGAATACACATATGTATTCTCAGGGTCCATACATATGTTTGCAGAATCCACCCAGTAACAGTTCTTTTTCACCTGTGAGTATTAGCCATAGTAGTATTTTCAAATCATATGGCACCGGTTCCTTACTGTGAAGGCCCTTAGTAGACTGCAGAGAAATCCAGGTATGGGTTAACTTGCATTGCCACCTACATCAGCCAGGACTCACATGACTTTAAAAACACACACACACTGATTTCATCCATTCTTCTAATAGCACAGCATAGAAAAGATAAATGTAGAGTTAAACAGGAAGAATAGACACATGAGATGGATTGTATGGCCAGATGAAAACAACGCATGCCACTACAGAGGATTTTGTGTATGTCTTCTTCTGATCACAGCATACAACAAACATCACACTCCCAGAAAAAAATGTATGGGATCCAGTAAATGGTAAGTGCTGATGATAACAAAGAAAGAACCATCTGTTTTATTATTCTACTGAAGGTAATCTCAGTTTTGGAATAACATGTAAATATGAAGAATTGCCCTAGATTGCTGCTTTACATAGATCATTTAGCAGAGCATTGGTTGAAAGTACCATTGAGGTAGCTGCATACTTGGAGAAATGAGCTGTAATATTAGATGGGCCTGATAGGTGTGGCACTTAATAGATCAGAGAAAAAGCAAACCTACTGTTTACTTTTCCCCCAAAGAAGTGGAAGGCAAACAAATAGGTTGCCTACAAAAGAGGCTTTTCTTCTTATGCAAATCTGAAAGGTCCGATGAAGTGTTAGTGTTACACTCCCTCTGAAAGTGTAGGTTCACAGTTTGGAAGTATTCCTGGATTCCGCTCTGGACCAGGTATCAGCAGTGACCAGGAGTGCTTTTGCACAGTGAAAGCTAGTGTGCCAACTGTGCCCATTCCTGGAGAAGTCAGATCCAGTCATGGTGCTACATGCCTTGGTTACATCCTGGTTGGACTACTGTAATGTGTGCTACATGGGGCTGCCTTTAAAAAGTGCTCAGAAACTTCAGTTGGTCCAAAGAGCAGCAGCCTAACGACTAACTGGGGTTGGCTACAGGGAGCATACAACTCCTCTGTTGCAACAGCTTCACTGGCTGCCAACACGTTTTCGAGCACAATTCAAAGTGCTGGTTTTCATCTAAAAAGCCCTACATGGCCCCAGTCCAGGTTATCTGAAGAACCACATCTCTTTCTATGAACCTGGGAGATATCTACAATCTACTGGGGAGGGCCTTCTCTCGATCCCACCACCCATTCAAGCATGCTTGGTGGAACAGAGGAGAGGGCCTTTTCAATGGCTGCTCCTAGGCTGCGGAACTCCCTCCCAAGAGAAACCAGAATGGTCCAATCCTGCTGGCCTTCCGCAAGCAGGTCAAAACAATCTTCTACCATTGAAGCTTTTGGGGAAGGATGTAAGGGGAGACTCTTACTGGGGGCCATATGTGTTTTAAAGACCAATTTTAATATATTTGCTGTATTTTAATTCTGTTTTTACCACACTGCCATTCTTTATTTTTAAATTTTTGTATTGCTCTTTTTAAACTGTTTAGTGTGAACAGATGTTAGCTGCCTTGAATACCCATGGGGAGAAAGGCGGGATATAAATAATAATAATAATAATAATAATAATAATAATAATAATAATAAAGAAGTTCAAGCCCATATTATTTATTTTCAAGAGGATGTGAAAGTTTGCGGCAAACAATTTGGTAAAACTAACATTTGAGGCATATGAAAGAAGGAAGTCATCTTAGAATGGAAAGAAGGATCTGTATGTAATGCCACTGTGCCTCTTCCAAAAAAAGCAAAGATGAAGGCACTCAATTGTCATACCATCAGGAAAAAACCACTTTGAGTGACAAGCCCTTGGTATTTCAAAACTTTGGTTGTTGAAAGAGCCTGGAGATTCTAGGTAGGAAACTTGTGAACAATTTGAGAACCAAGGAGATAACATCCACAAAAGAAACTGTTTTCACATCTAACAAGGACAGAAGATAGAAAAGACACCTGTCTTAGAAAAAAAAGTTGTCTGAAGGCCTAAATCCAAACCTACTTGGAGTACAATTATGAATTCTTTCATACCAACAAGGATCATATGACATACACCAAAATGCCTTCAATTATCTCATATATGCATTGAGCAACAAGAACAAAGCATTGTAGTAACTACTTAGCAATTTCAAATAAAAATCCCTTTTGGGTAGCAAGTAGCTAAATACAGCCAGTCTGGGTGGAGAATGGGCTGAGTCTGTTTGGGGGAAAAACATGGTTCTTTCCAGAATAGTAAATTATCACTAATAGTAATGACACCTGAAGCTAATGGGAACCTACCAGGATGGTTGAGGCCCTTACCACCTGACTCTTACAGCAATATAGAAAGTAGTAGAGCTGAATGCAAGCCTACAGAAATGGGGCCCAAGTAAACACAAATATTGTTTTCCCCTTCTTTCTTCTGCCAGAAAGGCTATTCTGTCCACTTCCTACCAAGAAGAGTATCTAACCAAACATACATAATGTGGGTTTTTAAAAACAGGCTGGATGGCCACCTGTTGGGGGTGCTTTGATTGTGCTTTTCCTACATGGCAGGGGGTTGGACTAGATGGTCCATGTAGTCTCTTCAAACTATGATTCTAAGAGTGAGGATGGGGAAGTGATAATATAAAGGGTACACATTTTTTAAAAAATTCAGAAAACGGACAAAAGTATTACACTCTGAAAGAGAAAGGGAACAAAAGCAGCAGAAAATCAAGGATAAGGAAATATAAAGAAAGGGGGTCCACTGAAGAGGAGCAAATGGCTTCTGACTTGAGCTAAGGCAAGAGAAAGAATAGAGGGAAGTTCACTCAGTGGCTAAAATATTAAAAATAAGTCACATGACTCTGGGTTGGCTTGGGTGACAGTGGGTGCTGTCCCATATGCAGATGGCTCCTTTTCTGCTGTCTGAGAATAATGGTTTCTCAGAAATATCTGTAAGGTAAACATTTCTAAGTCTTCTTTAAAGAAATAAGCAAAGTATAAGATAGCAGACTTTGCTATTCTACAGTAAAAACAGATGGCACTATGAGCAGTGTCCAGATTTGGCTGAATCCCAACATCTACGTGTGAAGGAAGATAATAACCACCAACACAGAATATTACATATATTACAAGGGAATATATTAGCCTCACTTCCACCCACAAATGAAATGATATATTATTTATTTTAGGTGTCATACTTGTAAAACATTATAGCCTGAATCCAAAACAAATGTTTCATTTGAAGTTTAAACTTTTTTGTTCAACTCAAAGGACCCCAAGGCAAGTAACTGAGATAAAAAACAAGAATAAATCATCTTGCCAAAAAAAAAACCAGGCAACATATCCATCCAATACTTGTTCAATAATTTCTATATGCCTACAAAAATTACTTTCACATTTAACTGGAGTATTCAGTATTGATATCTTATAGACCCTGTTTATAGGTAATTGCTGTACATAATTTAATGACCACAAACAATTTAATGAAGAACCTTTCAATTCAAGTGTAAGATATGCATCATCCATTTTATGCATGTTATGTGACATGTAATCCCACATCAGTCTAGTAGATCTTTTTAATACATATCGATGTACTGATTCAGTACACTAAATATATAACACTATAAACAAACGTGTAGCTTCACTGTATCATTTCAGAGTTATTTAACACAGTGTGCAAATATCCAAAGGGTTTATTCCAACTATTTTTCCCAATTAGAAGTCATCAATGAGGGACCATTCATATTTGAAAATCAACTGTATTAATCTACTGGGTTATTCCTATGGGCATGCTTACTGACAACTTCAAAACATTCTGAAAAGCTGGTGTTGTGTGCCTTCAAGTCATCTTCAACCTATGGTGACGATGCCACCCCTAACTTGAGCATTTTTTTACTTGCTAAGGAAGGAATTATATACAAACGAAGAAGGAAAATAAATCAATTATTTACCAGTATGTTGTGTCATAGGGGCAGAGCATAACCTGTTGCATACATTTGATTCCCCATTCTCCTCATAAAAAAGAGCTATTGGATGTAGTCTACTGTGGACAAAGACTGTATGTACAGAAACAGTAGGTAAGGTAAAGATTTTCCCTTGATGTTAAGTCCAGTCATGTCTGGCTCTGGGGGTGGGGGTTCATTTCCATTTCTAAGCCAAAGAGTCGGCATTGTCCATAGACACCTCCAAAGTCATGTGGCCAGCATGACTGCATGGAGTGCCGTTACCTTCCTGTCGGTGAGCTACCTATTGCTAGGCTGGCAGAAGCTGGGAGCTCAAAGCGGGAGTTCATGCCGCCTGCCAGATTCGAACCTGCAACCTTTCAGTTAGCAAGTTCAGTAGCTCAGCAGTTTAACCCACTGCGCCATTGGGGCCTCCTACAGAAACAGTGTTCAGGGTCAAATAAGTCCTTTTTCATTAGAAAAGATCGAGCAAAATATGTAAAGATTTAAAAATTTTCTTGACATGAAAGTGGGATTTCTTTGTGTATGTCATCTGTATGCTCCCTCCATTACTCTGCCATTAATGCTGTCTGTCCTTCTGGTGGAGACATTCTGAGTTTAGATTTATTTTAGTAATGACACTTTGGATCAAAACAGAGATCATATACAATCATTTAATAGCCTGTTTCAGTGGCAAAACATTCAATCTATAAAAAAAGTCAGGCAGACAGTCTAATAACTTTCAATGATTAATCTAGAAACACAAGGATCTTATAAGGCAAAGCACATTATTTTTACTTTTGAAAAAACAACCCACAGGAGTAAACATTGTACATATTCTTTTTCTTCAATGTTTAATGCAAATTCCAAACAAAATTACCTTGTCAGAACGATCAGCTTGCTTATATACATAAAGGGGAATGAGTAAAGATCTTGCTTAACACTCATCACTTTGTTACTTTGCTGATGTGCTTGTCTCAAAATATGAGCTGTGAAGAAGTGCTCTTCCTCTGCCACTCTCTATGAAGAATATTGTGTATACTTTTTTGTCCTGGATGGTCAATACAACCATTTAAATAAATTATGTCTCTGAGGTCACAGAGGGTACAAGGAATCTTACTGTCGGCAATGAAGAAGTTTCCCTGAAAGCAAGTTCAGCAATAGGCCAGAATATTTCCTACTCATCTTTGATAGGGATGCATTGAAGCAGATTTGATGTTGGTTTTTATGCCGCTGGGCATCTTTCCTGCAAATTGGAAAAGAGATGGGGTTAGTGATGTAATAAAGAAAAAGACCTTCACATATCAGGAGGGAAATATAGGGAGAGTCTTTCTAGTTGTTTTCTAATACATGAATTGACATCTCCCTCACACATATTTTCTAGAGTAAATAGATCTACTCTTTCAGTGCTTTAATTTCTCCATATCTGAATTCTCCTTTCATTTTCAGTTTGTGTAAGTCCATCTTGTGCAGAAATAATAAGAATGTAAGAATGGTCCTGATGAATTAAATAAATGAATAAATTAAATAAATGAATAACTTATCTATCCGAACGTATCTCAGCCTATCAGCCCACCAGGACCCTAAGATCTTCCGGAGAGTCCCTTCTCTCTATCCCTCCAGCTTCAGAAGTGCGGCTGGCGGGAACGAGAGATAGGGCCTTCTCTGTGGTGGCCCCCCGGCTTTGGAACACCCTCCCTATAGAGATACGATCAGCCTCTTCGCTGATGGTGTTTAGGAAGAGACTTAAAACATGGTTATTCAAACAAGCATTCGGCTAATCTGTGGCAATCGAATTCTGGTGACTATGGACAGGAAATATGGACAACGAATTCTGGACTGTGATTTCAACTTGAGATATATGGGATTATTATTGGTGGCCCAATAATTTGTTATTGTATATGTATATGTTTTTAAATTGGAGACTGTTTTAATTGTTGTAAACCGCAGTTGAGTCGCCGACCCAGGCTGAGAAATTAGCGGTATACAAGTGTACCAAATAAATAAATAAATAAATAAATAATTATATTCTGCTCTATCTCGCCGAGGGGACTCAGAGCTGATTACAGAATACATATATGGCAAACATCCAATGTCATTATACAAGGACAGACAATACATAGACAGAAGCAAAGGCTTCCCTCTTTTTCATCTCCAGCATCTGGGGTCTGTGCTCAACTGTGGCCATGGGGAGGTACTGTTGTTCCATTTTCCATGATGAGGAGCCTGTTGTCTATGGGCGCCTTCCTGATCAAGTTGCTGACATGTCTTCAGGGCACCTTTTACTTCCCCGCCAAAATGGTACCTATTGATCTACTCACATTACTGTTTTCGAACTGCTAGGTAAGCAGAAGCTAGGACTGACAGCAGGAGCTGATCCTGACCCGCAGCTTTGAACTGCCAACCTTCTGGTCAGCAAGATTTTCTGCAGATGGTGGTTTATCCCGCTGTGCTATCGCTGCCCCTTAATTATCTAAAGTGTAGCCTGTTTCTTATAGGTAGGACAAGACAAAAGCAGTTCTTGCAATTCTCCAGTAACAGTCATGAAATTACAGGCGATATAGTAGACCACCAGTAGTAACCTTAATGCTGTTAGATAGACAGATAGATCTCTGATATTGCAACATGTTTTGAGCTCATAACCTTCCAGAAATTGATGTAAATATGTAAATGAATAGTTGCCAATTTCTTGGTGGCAAGGATCCACACTAGATCCCCGAACCCACTTAGGGTAGTATTGTCACTCCAGCTGATAACTGGCACCAAATACCAAACTATGATTCTGTAAGCCAAGATTCCCATCACTGCCAGAATACTTTTCTGCATCACAAAGTGCTGGAAAATAGAAGAGCAGAGCACTGCTTTCTTTTTTGGAATGAATGAGAAGGAAGAAAACAGCCAGCATAATTTCCTTCCAGGCTACATTTTGCTCAGCCTTTTACAGGGTGTCGTATAACCTCCTACATATGGTGTAGCTTATTGAGAGCAAACCAAACAAAGACTCAGAATAGTTGTGTTTCTCTGAAATATGGAAATGTATACTATACCATAGATCTTATGCAGAGTGTTAAAATTCTATGCAACTATATTATTTTCATTCCATTAGTAGCCTCTACATTGTATCCCCCCCCCCCCAACATATCAGACTTTTACTCACCTGGTTGCCCCCCTTGGGGCATCTGTACTCCTCCAAGCATGGGTTGAGTCTGGCCTTGTGCTCCAGGCATTTGTACCTGCTGCATGGCAGAACTACCTGCTATAATACTATTGGCACCTGGCTGACCAGATTGGACAGGCCCAGTAACACCTGGAGGCCGCCTATTTGAGAGCCCCTTCCCAAAGGCTACAGCTGCAACCAGGGCATTGGTATCAGCAGGGTTGAATGTCTGCTTGTTCTGCCGTATTCCTGCAAGGGGAAAAACATTCATACAGTACACCATTTACCAAAGTATCTAAGTGTTTAGCCTTGTTCTGATACCATATTCATATCATTCCTTGTTAAACTTGGTTCCTTGTTAAACCTGGTTCTTGATGCTCTGTTTCTAGGCTCAGTCTCTATAAATCAGAGCTTCTTAAACTGTACATCCTGAAAACTGGTCCTCATTATCCAAGGATTTAACTATTTGATATTTCTTAAAAGTTTGATTTGTATGTATTGTTGAAGGAAACCCCATTTTCCTAGTTTCAACAGACCTCACCACCTCTGAGGACCCTTGCCATAGATGCAGGCAAAACATCAGGAGATAATGCTTCTGGAACATGGCCATACAGCTCAGAAAACTCACAGAAACCCTTTGATTTGTATACCTATTTTATAATCTATAGACTCTGTGTCACATAAAATTATCTTGGGCAAAAAGTACTCTAGATCACATATCACAACACTCTTGTTTCTCCAGTACAATACCTCCACTCTCAGACTCTCGGTCTTCCTTGTTGATTTTCTCCAATAAGTTACAACACATTTTGTTTAGGCTCTGGATTTGTTTCTGCAACCATAAGATTGGTACAGTAAAATATATTAGAAAATGTATGTTACTTTCCATATTTTGTCTTACTGCACACAAAGCAAATTTCTCCAAAGTCTATATCCCAAATTTCTAAACCAGAAAAACATCCATTATCCAAGTAAATCCTACCTAACCCTATACTACTCAATCAAATCAAAACACTGACTGGAATGGTGTTGAGAATTCCAACAATATGTGTGCAAACTATGGTCATGGTGCTCCACAGTGAATCCCATCCTGATTCCCCTAATCCCCATTTAACAGGAAGCACCTGCTATGATCAGCAGTGGTGTGATCCCCACTGGAACAGTTACATACTTATCACAGTGGCTGCAAACCTTAACAGTTCCTATGTTACTCTTAAAGCCACGAAGAGAAAACAGTGGCAAATCTGTAAATCTAGGTTATGCATTTTTAACGCCCCACCACAATTACACCGATTATTTCTAAAATGACCTTCTGACAAATAATTTAGGAGTAATCTATGTTCTTCTAGAATATGTATGAGAACAGCAGTATTTACAGCACACATATTCTTAATAAAGAGAATAAAGGTGAGGACAGAGAAGTAAAAAGTAAAGCAAGATGATGTTTATACAAAGATTTAGCGAATTTAGTTAACCAAAACAACATCATTCAGAATTGCGAGACAACAGGTAACACTTACCTGTGCCACATCGGCACCAATACGAGCTGCATCTGTGCTCAGTTGCTTCTCTTGTTCCTCCACCTCAGGATCAGGTTTGGTTCGCAGATGATCAGGTACAACCTCATGGCTGAACACTGGCACTCGCCCCTCTGTCTGACGCTGAAACATCCAGATTATTAGTATTCAAAACTCATAGTTTGCAAAACAGTCAAATAATATAAGGATGGATTTATAGACCTGAGGTAGGTTGCAGAGACTGAAATATTACTGGAAATTGACTTCATAATGCCATCACAAATCCTGCAGGGTTGTAGAATTTTAGTTGCCCAGTGATAGTAAAGCTAAGCAATGAAGAAGTTATTCTCATCCACCTATTTCTTAAGTCCATCTGAAGTTCTATCCATCTCTATCTATGGACAGAGAAGACTAGGACACAGGCTGTACTACCAAATATTATGCACACAAGAACATACCTCATTATATTGTGTTTGTGCATTTTAATTAGAAATCATTCTGAGAACAATACTGAGTGAACCCTACTAGTAAACAGAATAAATAAATAGTATGTGGATAACATCATACTTTGATCTCCATGTCTACATAAAGACATGATTTGCACAATGATAGCTTTTGGAGAACAGTAGTCACTGTTCAAAGATATGACCTAGAAATGTCTAAAGAAGGCACCTGCAAACTAGACTATGTGTATGTCAAGTTGTTACATGCATTCTTGCAGTTTTCAGCATACCAAGTACTAGAAAAGTGTTTTTCTAAAGTATTCTTTGACTTGACTCCCCACATGAAATACACTGAAGTGGCAGAAACTGCACCATTTTAGACTGCTAATAAGGGACATCATTTTTCAATGCTTTTCCAAATTTTTAAAAATGTATAAGAAGATAAAACTAAATTATCAGTGAGGGAAGACTCTAGCCCAATCTACTCCTTGCTATAACAGGAAGGGAATTTAAAAATCCCTGATTCCCACTTCTGCAGTCTCTGGTGGTATTATCTATTATCAGTCATCACCACCATAGCCACTTAGTTATATAAAGATCCATGCTATGTAATCTTGCCCTGGACTAGTTTTTAAATGGTTTTTAAAGCTTTTTTTTTTTTAAATACTGTGATGTAATTGATTTGTTTAAAATTTGTATAATTTTAAATTTTAATTCAATTCTAATACTTACTTTTTCTATGTTTTTAATTAATTGCATTACTTTTTATGCAATTGTGAGCTGCTTTGAATATAAAGTTTGAAGAGGGAAGCAGGACAAAAATCATCATCACCATTACAACCATCAGGGACCTATCAACTCTGATATTTCAAAGAAGGACATTGACAAAATGGAATGTATCTAGGTGTGGTAATCAAGATGGTAGATGATTTAGAAACTAATCCATATGCAAAAAAGGCAAAGGGAGCTGGTGTGTTTAGAAGAAGAGAACAAAGACAGATATGATAGCCATCTTAAAATGAAGAAAATGGAGCAGGGTTGTCTTCTGCTGTTCCACATGAATAAATGAGTTCAAATTGCCAAATCCTACCTAAATGTTAGATAGAACTACCCAGTGGTGAGACTGTTAAACAGCAGAATAGACTGCCTTGGAGAGTAGTGAATGCTACCTCTTTGGAGGCCTTTTAACAGAGATTGGATGGATTTAGTTGTACATTCTTGCATGACAGATTATTGTGGTTTCTTTCAAATATGATTCTAACGTTCTATCTAATTTTATGACATATGTAGAGCAGTACTTTGATGGCACAAAAGGGTATTGTGAAACTCAAGAATGGGTGAAAAAATCCTAATTTCACAAATATTCCATATTTCATCCTTCACAGAGAGATGTACCCCCATCCTGTTTCAATGAAAGTTGTTAATAGGTCAAGATGTCACTTTATCCATGATTATACTACCAATATATATTTCTCATTTTGCCATGCAAAGTACAAGTTATGAGTCAGATCCTTACCATGAGCTCCTCATCACGGTCTGGGGAAAGCACTAAAGGAATTATGACCTGATTGCGCAGCAGTGGCGTCTTCTCATGCTTCAGCACTTTATTCAGGGTGTTTAGTTGCCCAGAAAGTAGAGCAAAGTTGTCTAGTACTGAAGGCCTGGAGCAATTGGAAAAATGAAAGGACATGAGGTACTTAGAAAAAATATTCCTGTGTGTGACTGTTGGAAATTAAAAGCATTGTTTCGCACACAAAGCCATCAATGAAATCAAACCTTTCCGCAGCAGTTGTATTCATAAACATCTTTAAATATACCGAATATTTTTGTCAGTAGTATGCCCTATGTCGAACTTTTTGAGGTGTTGATATGACTACAGAGAACAGGTCACATAGGCCCAACTTCCATGGGATTTGAATGTTTTCTCAATCTACATCACTAATCCAGTGCGGAGAAGAGCAAACTACAGACCACCTGCTGCAATGCAAACTGAGCCCTGCCACATGCACAATGGAGGACCTTCTTGTGGCAACACCAGAGACACTCCAAGTGGCCAGATACTGGTCAAAGGACATTTAATCAACTACCAAGCTTGCAAATTTTGTGTTTTGTCTGTTTGTATGTTTTGTTCTGTTAGGAATGTAATACAATTGTCTGGTTGCCCCTGACACGATAAATAAATAAATCCAGTATGAGTGAACCTTGAGCAAACTAACAACTCTTGTTCATTCCTGTATTTACAATAAAGAACAAATAAACGTTACACAGGTTCCAGATCCTCCTTAACATTAAACTGTCTGCATAACAATTTCATCCTCTACATTTCAAATAATGCAGAAAAGTGCATCCTTTGGTTGTCATCTTGACACAAAATCAAATCGAAGACTCTGGTGTTTGTCCGTATCTTCCAAACATACAGGGTGTACTTGTATAGATTCTGTGTGAATATACAGTACCCAAAACTTTAAGCTACTATATATTGTGCAATGTCTTCACCAGCTTCCTCAGTAAGCAAGATTAGTCCCATAACCTTTATCCTACTCTCTTACCAGGTAAGACGGTCATATTCATTCTCCAACTTGTAAATGAAATTGACTAAGGAATTTTTCAGGTCAGCTACTTGACTGATGAGAGCTTCTAGGGACAACTCTAGCTGCTTCTCTTCTCTCTAAAAAGAACAAAAACAAAACTTTTAACACACCAGTTCTTCAACCCAAAGTGATTAGTCCCTTTAATGGGTTTCATACTAAACATCTAAACATAGTGTGTATATGTGTATCGGGGGGGGGGGGMGCTTATTTTTTCCCCTCCTTTGGCCTGTTTTAGACCCAGTAAAAGGTCTTTTTATTCTTATCAGAAAAACTTGTCATAAGGTTAAAACACTGAATAGTAGTGGGGAATATGATGAAAAAAAGGGTGTGAACATTTTGAGTTTAAAAATAAAAACAAAAAATGCAGAAAAGAGGATCATATGAGCCTTGGGGCACATGAATAGTGAAGACCAGATTTTACATGCTTCTCTTGGAAGGTAGTTTATGGTGTAGTTATTCTGAAGGAATATCTAAACATTGACAGAAACGATCTCTGATCTGTTCCCCTTTTAGAACAGTAACCTTTGTTTTTCCTGGGTCCAATGTGGAACTGGGGGTTCTCTATACTTTCAACAGTTGTATCAGAAAGAGAATTTGAGCAGCCACAGCATCTTGTGTGCTGGCTGTTTCCTTTTAAACTCTTGTAACATAGACAATCCAATAAAATGATCACACACCAGAATAATACACTATACGTTACAAATCAAACAATGCAAGAAGATTGCCTCAGGTAAGATAGCAATGATATCTCATCAGAACAACCAGAATATAGCTATCAAGCTTATTGGGAAATCAGTTGACACACTTCCGTTGGCATGTGATGTTGAAAGAGGAATTCTCACTGAATGAATAATCCATCAGTGAGAGAGAATGCAAAGGAAACCACATAAAGGAACATTGTGATCTAAATATATGGGCCCAATGTGTAAGACTGACAGGATGACTGCCAAAAGGCATAGCTGAGATTATCATTGTCTTGTTGCATATACCTTTCTCAAGGACCAAGTGATGAATTTCACATTCCTTCTGAAAACTTGGTTGTTTACAGAGACTTTTTCTGGTTCATAGTGACTTATGACACTGTTCTGATTTACTATTCTAATGCGAAGTATTTGTTATATCTATAGTGTAACAGCTATCTCTCTCGATTTTATAGTACACTGTGGGCAAACCACTAAGGGATTTAATGAGGGTAACCAGCATGTACACACACACACACACACACACAGAGCCAATATCCACATATTTTAAGCACAAAGGATTAAAGCAAAACATCTAAAGAGTTAAACACACTAAAATTCATGAAATACATGGAAGCAATGTACAATCTTAAAACAAAAGATTATATACTGTTCCAACACTGCAGAATTTGATAAAACCAGGGAAATCTCTCTGCCACAACAATGACTTCACTCCAGCAAAAAAAAAAAAAAAAAAAAAAAAAAAAAAGCATTCTTCAGTCCTGCTTTAAATACCTTTCACAAGATTTTTGTAGCAACAGTTTATTATAATTATTATAATTATATTGCTACCGAATTATTTGTTGGATGGCTTCAAAATACAGGTTACATTCTAATGCTGCAAGTTGTGCAAATGGAATCTCTATGCAAATTACGCATGGCATTGGGTTGCTAATGACCATTTGGACAAACCACTTCCCCAGTGAAACACAGATGGGCACAATGCATTATATCACCTCATTTTTAAACATTTATTTTCTTGCATTTCTTTTTGTGGAGTCTAGTCTGGATTATTAAGATCAGGGTTCAAATTCTGCTTAGCGATGAAAGCCCACTGGCTGACCTTGGGCAAGTCACACTCTCAGCCTGAGGAAGACAGAAGCAACCTTATGGAAAAGCCTGATAGGTGGCCTTAGGGCAGTGGTTCTCAACCTGTGGGTCCCCAGGTGTTTTGGCCTACAACTCCCAGAAATCCCAACCAGTTTATCAGCTGTAAGGATTTCTGGGAGTTGAAGGCCAAAACATCTGGGGACCCACAGGTTGAGAACCACTGCCTTAGGGTAACCACCAGTTGGAAACAACTTGAAGGCACACAACAACAATCCTACCATAGCTAGTTTCAAGCTCTTCCACATTTATTGCTGCTAAAAATTGCCATCTTAAGCAGTTTTGGATTGTAGCAACCATGCTGTGAAGCTCACCATAAAATTCCTCATTATCACATTGTATCCTATAAAGCATGCCTATAATTAAAAACTACACAAATGCCTTTCACTTTACAACTGTTGACAAACATTTTCTCCACACATATAACAGAGAGCAGGAAAATATGGGTGCTAAGCGTATCTAACCATTTATTATAAAGAACATTACAACAGCATTACAATAACTAGGATGGACTCCACCCTTAGAGTTTGTAGTAGTCTGTGATGACGGGGTGAAGCTTGGACTTAGAAGAGAGTAATTTGAATAACGAATAGACTAGAAACTATTGAAGTTCAAAACAACCCATATATAGAAAAGTCATCTAATGAACTAGAAATTAGGAAGGAAGAGTAAGTGGAGGAAAACAACCCCCAGAACGAAAAGAGAAGTTATGAAATCCAACAAAATTTTAAATCAGGGGAGGGGTTAGTGAGGCTGCTGCTGAATTTCAGTTCATTTATTTATTTACTTTATTTTTATCCACCTTTCTCTCATTATAAGGACTCAATGTGTCTGACAATTAATATAAAACAATTGAAACCAAAACAATAAAAAACAGATACTAAAATCTAAATAGAAATACTTAATTACAACATATTCATGTATAACAATTACTCATGTATGTAAGTAGATGACAGGTTTTGGATCCAAAGTTATGGATTTTTTTTTCCAAGATGGCGACGAAGCAACAGCGACCCTGTTAACATCAGCGGGGCTAAACTATAATCTGCTGGAATCCTCAGCTCCCAGCTTCTATCCTGTTGCAAATTTGATGAGAAAATCTCCCTGATTTATCAGGGCATCGAACAAACCGGACATTGGGAAAGACCAACTTACCACCACCGCCGTCGGCACCGGATTAGCGGGTAGGCCTCCGACCACCGGGAAGGCCCGCGGAAGAGCACTAGGCCGCGCCGCCACCGCCCTCCTCCATTGCCATCCGGGAGGGGGCAAAGAGAAGCTGCGGCCCATCCGGCCCCTCAGATCACCAGGAGGGGCCGCGCCGGTGCCGCTGCCGCCCCCCTCCCTTCCATCTGGGAGGGGGAAAGAAGACCCGACAAATCGCGGCCCACCCGGCCCCTCAGACCACCAGGAGGGGCCGCGGAGAAGCGCCAGGCCGCGCCGGTGCCGCTGCCGCCCCCTCCCTTCCATCTGGGAGGGGGAAGAAGAAGCGCCAGGCCGCGCCGGTGCCGCTGCCGCCCCCTCCCTTCCATCTGGGAGGGGGAAGAAGAAGCGCCAGGCCGCGCCGGTGCCGCTGCCGCCCCCTCCCTTCCATCTGGGAGGGGGAAGAAGAAGCGCCAGGCCGCGCCGGTGCCGCTGCCGCCCCCTCCCTTCCATCTGGGAGGGGGAAGAAGAAGCGCCAGGCCGCGCCGGTGCCGCCCCCCTCCCTTCCATCTGAGAGGGGGAAGAAGAAGAAGACCCACAAGATCGCGGCCTATCCGGCCCCTCCGACCATCGAGAAGGGGCCGTGGAAGAGCGCAGGGCCGCGCCACCATTGCCCCCCTCCCTTGCCATCCGGGAGGGCGAAAAGAATCGGCATTGGGGAAGGGCCGAAAGCCCCGGGAAGCTGCCTGTTCGAGCCTTGCACTGGAAAGGAGCTGAAGAACTCTTCAGGCCTTGCCTGAAAGCAGGAATTTGCTGCCGCCATCTGACTCTTTTTCTTATTGTTTTTATTTTTCTTCCTACTTTCTCCTTTGGCTAGTTGTTGTTTCAGTTATTCAGTTATTTAGTCATAGTTATAGTTAGCTGCATGTTATATGTTTTAACTGCTGATTGTGTTAGGAGGTGCAGGGAATAATAGGATCACTGATAGGAGAGGATAGGATTGCCTGAGGTGGTGTGAGTGAAGAGGCCCAGGAGAGCGCATGAGACTGCCCGTGATAGAAAGTGATTACATAGGAAGGTGTGGATGGTAGTTGTGTGTATATAGATGAGTGAGAGAGTGTGTAAGTTTGGTTTTAGTTGGCTGAGAGAAATGTGGGAGAATGAGGAGAGTATGGGATTTGTGGAATGCCTGGAGGAGTGACTGATTGTGTCGTAAGTTGGATGTGAGTGAGTACTGATAAGAATGGTTGGGTACTAGTGGTGAGAGAGAGAACTAACTTGACATAGGAATGGCTGCAGCGGAGTCTTATGCGAAGAATGATATTTTGCACTTTTACGACCTCCTGAGGGACTCGTTCAACCATGTGCTGCTCCAACTCAGGTTTTTGAACGAGAAAATGGACCATCTCCTTAGAGGTTTTGCCTCTTTCTCAGGAATTCCCGTGCAATCCACTCCCCCAAAGACTGATAACCTTCTGTGTGCAGACCTGACTGAGGACTTGTACCTAAATGGGGAGAAAGGCACTTTAGATCACGGGGATCATGGGGTGGAAGGAGGGAGGGAGGGAGGGATCAATGATGAGCCGTCTGAGGGAAAGGGAGAATCCCTGGGCTCATATAGGAACATCTTGGAGTGGCAGCAGACTGTGATGGCCACTCAGAGGACGACCAATAATACAACATCAGGCCTTATGGTTCAGCCCACCGCACTTTGCACTCAGGACCAACATCTCCCAACAGACAATTTTGCGGTGGACATTGCTGACCTAATGGTAAACAGAGGCAGATGGACCTCCAAGAGGGCAGTTTGTAACTCCTTGGCCCAAATCCTAGGTAAAAGATCACAGGAAATAAGATTAAAAGCCATAGTGTGGTTGTGGAGGGATTATCAATCTTCTGACCGCTCCACCCGTCTTCAAATCACACCAGAAGACAGCTCTTGGCTTGGTGAGCTAATGGCAAAACGATCTGGCCTAAAGAAATGGGGCATTACCATCAGAAGGGTAGTTGTGGACCCTCATATACGCCCCTTGTTTGATTCCGGGGTTCCTCCTCGCCATGTTCCACCAAGCCCCCGTGTGAACTCC